TTGTCGGAGTAACAATCGAGGAAGGAGAGCAGTTCGCAGCCAGCGGTTGAGTCTACAACCTCGTCTATCCAAGGCAGACCGAAGGGGTCTTTAGGGTAGTGTTTGTTGAGATCAGTGTAATCAACGCACATTCTCCATTCTTTATTCTTTTTTTGAACGAGAACATGATTTGCTAACCACTCAGGATGATACACTTCTTTTATAAATCCGGCAGCTTGGAGCCGTTTTATTTCTACCCTAATAGCCTCCTTGTCTGGCGTGAATCATCGGAGTTTTTGCTTGATCGGTTTGGCGGTCAGCGAGACATTCAAGGAGTGCTCGATCTTCTCCCGTGGTATCCCCGGCATGTCTATAGGTTTCTAAGAAAACACATCGGCGTTGGTACGTAGGAAGGAGATGAGCGCGCTTTCCTATTTGGGGTCGAGGTGAGCCCCAATCTTCACGGTCTTGGAGGGGTCGTCGAGGCCGAGGCCGACCTCCTTTGTTTCCTCGAGACTTGGCGGAGGCATGAGGAGGTTCCAGCGATGGGATCTCTAGGTCATCGGCGGGCACCATCTTGGCGTCAGTGACCACGCTGGCCATCTGGATGGAGAGGTCGGTGGCTTCGGCGAGGGTGAGACTCTCTGTGTCACAGGCATAGGCGAAGGCATCTTCAGCACCAGATTGGAGTAGTGCGGTACGGCCATGAACTTGGCCAGGGCTGGCCGACCAAGTATGGCGTGGTAGGCGGTGTTAAAGTCGGCGACGTAGAAGTTGATGTGCTCGACACGGTAGTTGCTAGCCGTGCCGAACTGTACTGGTAGGGTGATCTCTCCAAGCGGTTTGGATTCCCTACCAAGTACCACACCCGGGAAGGAGGAGTTGGAGGGTGTGAGATCTCCTATCCCAAACCCCAACTCCTTTAGGGCTCCGACGAAGAGGAGGTTCAGAGCGCTCCCGCCGTCGACGAGTACTTTTCTAAAGAGTACTTTCTGGATGGTTGCATCAAGAACAAGGAGGAAACGCCCTATGTAAGGGATATCCGCCCACTGGTCGGTTGTGCTGAAGGTGATGGGGACCTCGAACCAGGGGCGATAGCTGGGGTTGGCGACGGCGTCTTCCGCGTTGATGGCGAGCACCCGGCGGGCGGTGAGCTTCCTCTCTCTTCTGCTCTTGGTGGAGGCAAGGCCCCTAAAGATGGTGGCGACCACCTTGTCGTGATCCTAGAAGGCATTGTTGTTGCCCCCATGTGGTCGGCGGCCTTCGGCTCCATCGTGGTTGTCGTCGTCCGGCTTTTTATCCTGGAATTCCTTAGCCAAGCCGAGGCCGTCCTTCATCTTAAGCTTGGCATTCTTGTGGAGAAGGCACGGGCCGTCGAGGATCTTCTTGTACTGCTCATCATAGTTGCTCTTGGCGCAAGGTTCGTGAACAGAGGCGACGATATGGTCTGGTCGGCGGCGACGATATTGACCAGACTTGGATCCTTCTGGCCGATCACGACCATTGTCCCGATGGTGATTGCGGTCGTCGTAGCGGCGGTCGCTGTGGCACCAGTCATCGGGGTGATCGTCGTTGCGACGAGTTGGGCGATGAGTGCCCACATTCTTATTGAAGCACACTTCGGCTTCTTCGGCGTCGGCGTACTGGTTGGCGGTCGTAATCATCTCGCCAATCCCCATGGGTGGCTTGCGGTTGAACTTGGAGCGGAGGTCGCGGTGATTGAGTCCTCGAACGAAGGCGGTGATGACCTCTGCCTCCGTGATGTTGGGAATAGAATCCCCCATGTCGGAAAAGCGTCTAATGTAGCTACGGAGGAGCTCAAACGGCTTCTGGTAGATGCGGTTTAGATCATGCTTGGTGCCCGACCAAGTACACGTAGCCATGTAGTTGTCAGTGAAAACCTTCTTCAGCTCTTCCTAGGATCCGATGGAGTCCAAGGCGAGGCTTGTGAACCAGTTCATCGCAGTTGGCGTAAGCATGATGGGAAGATATTTCGCCATGATATTTGGTATCTCCCCGATGGCGGCGCGCGCTAGCGATGGCATAAACTTGTAGCCACCGTGGTGGGGTTCATCCGCCCTTAGTAGGGCTCGACCCTAGTGATTTTGAAACCACGGGGCCATTGGAGTGTCCGGAGTGCCCTTGTGAATGCTTTGGGCCCTTCGGGATCATCGCCGCCAGTGATCTGCGGCGTTGAGTGGCTGGAGGGCTGAATCCGGATTATCGAACTCTTGCTCGTATTCTTGACGACGCTGTATTTCTTCATGATGACCGTAATGACGCTCGCCGATACGTCGTCGCTGCCTCAAGATTGTTGAGGTGCGCCGGACGCCCCTGGTCGTCCTCCTGGTCGTGTTGGCGAGGGTGTTCGAGGCGGTTGCCCCTAGCTCCCCCCTGGAGGGGTTGTCTGTCATCGCGGTGCTGGTCGGTGAAACGACTTGGGCGAGGATCAGATCTTGGCGCGGTGGATCGGTGAATTGAGCTCGTCGAGTACGAAGGTCTCTGATCCTAGTGGATCTCGTTGACCTGGCAGTGCGCCACTTTAAGCATGGCGGTGACCTTGGCGACCTTAGGTATCTGCGGGAGCCGGGCGAGCTCGTTGGCGGCCACGGCCAAGTTGGCACTCGGGGTCTTTTAGACGTCGTGGCCATCAACACGGACAAATTCGTCGTCGAGGTTGCGTTGGAGTTGACGTGGCCTTCCTTGCGAGTCGAGCTGATCGTTGCGAGTAGCCTCGGCTAGCGCAAAGGGCGGCTTCATTTGCTCGGCGCTGCGCACGGTTGATGTTTTTGTTGATGCGGGCGGCGCGATCCTCCTCGGTTTCCCCTTCCCACGGGGGCTGTCGACGCTGACGTTGAAGATTGCGCCTCCACAGAAGGGAGGGAAATGAGGTTATTCGGCGGAGGTTTCGGCTACAGTCTCCGTAGAGCCCTGGGACTCGGAGTCTGGATTCTCCTCCAGGATGGTTTGGAGGGATGCTCCGGGCATCGGCCGACGTGTAGCATGTTGACAGCCGGCGGGAGCTGGTCAGCGATATGGTCGGTGAGAGGACGGATATCTTCCACCTGGTCGGCGAATTTGCCCCTTAGGGCATCTTGATAGGCGGTGGTGATGCTGGTGAGCCCGAAGGGTAGGGCCATAGTCCCTAGAATTTCCCGATCAGCCTCCGATACATCTGGATCGGAGGGTGGTCGGCGCTGAACCAGAGTGGTCAGGGCTGATTCTACGATGGAGAGGCAACCGGCGAGCTTCTAGCCAACCTGATCGATAGATGCGATCAGACCGTCATTGTTGATTTGCATCCTCGGGTAGCGGGGGAGCGGACGGCGAATTATCGGCGAAGGAGACCTCGGAGGTGGTTCCGAGATCGGATCTGCAGTCGCAGGTGTTGGGGTGATCGGCGCAGTATTGATCTGCACCAGGTCGATGAGCTCTCCGACTCCGTCAGCGTTGATGATCCACGAGATCGATCCAACCGTGAAGATCTGGTGGGCTGTGGGAGGGACGAAGAGCCTACAAAACGTACCATTTTGTTCGACATGGAAACAACACGCACACCCCTACCTGGCGCGCCAACTGTCGATAGAATATCATCGGCGGTCCTCCGAGGGGTATCTCACGAAGGTAGATTGATCGACAGAGATGCGTGTAATCGAGAACAAGAAGGCAACAGAGACACACGAGTTAGACATGTTCAGGTCGTCAGTATGACATAATACCCTACTCCTGTGGTCTGTTGGATTCTATTAGCTATCGTATGATATTGCATGTGATTGGAGGGGGTCTCTGCCCGCCTTATATAGTCCGGGGGGAAGGGTTACAAGTCGGTTAGATTTAGGAGATAACCAAAAAGTAATAACAGATTATAGGAATCATGGGATCATACGTATCCTAACAGATCTCATAATATCTTCAGGATATCTTCCCTGTGTCTTGCGGGAGGCGCCGAGCAGCGTCGTGCCCCACAAGGCTTCGTCTTGTGGGCTGGACTGCCCCTGGGGGTGCAGCCCATGTAATTCATCGTGGGTATCCGGGGTCGTACCCCCACCCCCACCCCCACCAAGAGAAAAAGATGCAGTGCTGATGGTCATGACCTTGTGGTCTATCTGGACGAATCGGAATGCTGTCAGAGAAGAAGTGCGGGAGAGGAGAGCTGAGGACTTAGCACGTCCCAAAGCATCGATGTCCGACATGAAGGGGGCTGATTGAGGAGCTAAAGTCCTTTTCTAGGTTAAACTTCAGTGAATTCGTTTGTAATTTCTTGGGTAGAGCTGGGAACAGGGCTGCCCATGTATTGGCGAGTCTAAGTTATGGGTGCATTGTAGGGGAGGTGCTAATTACCAGTGCTATCCTTGATGATGTCTTTGTAATCGTTTCTGACAATTTGTTAGGAGAGTAATGAATCAGCCAAGTTAAACAAAAATGATTTACCTGACACTACCAAAAATAGAGTTCTCTCGTAGTGTTTTTAAGTAGTAGTAAAATACTACCACTAGTCATAACACATGTGAATCCTTACTAGAAGATATTTGGTAGGAAAAGTTTATACTAAATGTTGAATGCTAAAATACTAGGAGAATCCCACATCATTAGGAGAAGTTGAAAATTCTGGTTGTGTGAAAATTCCAACATCATTATATATTTTTTTAATAAAAGCTTCATTATATTGACAAAAAAAGGAGCAATCTATATTATACAAGAATATCACCATGTTCCCTTGTTGGTTTCAGCCAGGCTTATTCAACCAACTAACAGTGTTTTTCTCTCACAAAAAATCAGCACCAGCCAGTCCAAACCAGCACCAACCAGTGAACACGCTGTATAAGCGTTCATTACACAATTAAGCCGCATATATATCACTGGCGTACGAGCTGTGTGAAATACACTGTACACAGATCACTGATATATAGATAGACCAAGTGAGATAATGCGAAGCTAGTTAAAATATTTAAGATAAAATAATCACACAATTTTGCACAAGGCATGCACCACCAGTCCTTCCGTTTCCTAGCATGGAAATTTCATAGTGGCAAGCTGCTGCTCTCTAGCAGCATGTCCTTCCAGAAAGCATCTTCGTCGTCCTCCAGAGAGCACATGCTCGGCATCTCAATGGGCTCCGACAGAAGATGGGCAAAACCCTGCACCGGCCTGTCAGCCGCAGCTGCCACTTCCGGCGGATAAGCCGCAGACACTAATGCAGCTGCCAGCGGCTCTGCATAGGCGGCGGCGCCGATCACCGGAGCGGAAGCGTTCAGTCGCTGCAGTACCACGTCGTGCTGCTGCTCTGCAAAACTTGCGATATTGCTGAGATGATCAGCTGATGACGCGTGAGACACGAGGAGGTTCATCTGGTCCTGTAATAAGCTCGGAACGATGCTACGACTCGCGTTCAGAATGGCGTTATCGGCGGCTGCTGCGTTGATGCTGTTAGGCATGAGACCAGCAGCAGCAGCGCTTCCTCCTCCATTGACGGCCTGCAGCAGAAGCTGCAGCGCCTGCACCTGCATCAGAGCGCTGCTGAGGGCCTCCCAGGCTCGCCGCCGCCGAGAGGATCGCCCCTGGGGAGGCGGTGGCGATGTTGTCGGGGGGCAGACGCTGGTGCGTGACGGGGTCGATGCCCATGCGCAGCAGCTTCTTCCGGATGTGCGTGTTCCAGTAGTTCTTGATCTCGTTGTCCGTCCGACCGTCCAGGTGCGTCGCGATCGTCGACCACCTAACACAGGACAAACAGCGTAAGTACCGTGACAGCGTGTAATTGTTACCCTAAGACTAGATCATCGTATCTGGACTTCTGGAGAAGATCTGCACGCACGCCAAGCCAACTGCTGCAAAAGCAGGTGATGGCGGCGGCGGCTATGCATGCATGGGTGTCATGGTGATGGTGACCATCATCATATGAGTGCGTGACGTGAGTGGGTTGACGTTGATATCGGGCGTACTTGTTGCCGAGCTGGGCGTGGAGGCGGATGATGAGGCTCTCCTCGTCGGCGGTGAAGTTGCCGCGCTTGATGTCGGGGCGGAGGTAGTTGGTCCAGCGGAGGCGGCAGCTCTTCCCGCAGCGGTTCAGCCCGGCGGCCTTGGGCAGGTTGCGCCAGCTGCTAACTTGCCCGCCGTGCCTCTGGATGTGCTCCACCAGGGCGCGGTCCTCCTCCTCCGTCCACGGGCCTTTCTTCACGCCGGCGTCGTGGCAGCAGCACGGGGACCTCCCCATCTTCTTCTTCCCGCGAAGCGCTTGCGAGTTCGTTTGGATGTCCGGCCTGGTGGGGTGCAGTGCAGGAGAGAGATATGCGGTCCTGTCCCGGAGAAGGTACGGTGGAGTATATTTATAGGGAGGGTTAGCTTGCAATGGATGTTTCGTGCATGGCAACATTGAAGAGCCTGTACGTGGCGGTTATGGGAGAAACTACTTCTATTTACCCGTCGTTAAGTTGTTGCTTCGTCTGTGGATCTTAGGAAGTCAAAGAGAGCAGTTGCTGGAGAGATCTCGCACTACGTAGGGCTATCTCAACAACGACATCCAAAATATAAGACCAATTCATTTGTTGAGTAGCGCTATGAGTAAAAGATTCAATACATATTCGGCATCTTCTCCAATAATAAGATCTAAAAGGAAATTATTTCTGCAAATGAGTTTTCAGGAGAGAGAATGACTATATTTAGATTGTGCCTCTCAGACAACCTAAAATAGCTCTCCTGTATAGGTACTCTGCTGGAGACTGATTTTGGATCTCTTCCTATTTATTTTGGGTTTAGTTGTCCATATATATATTTTTGTTGGAGACAGTCTTAAGGCGTGTTTAGATCCAAAAAATTTTGGGTTTGGGGTACTGTATTACTTTCGTTTTTATTTGGCAATTAGTGTCTAATTATAGAATAATTAGGTTTGAAAGTTTCGTCTCGTGATTTCTCACCCAACTGTGCAATTAGTTTTTTTTTCGTCTACATTTAGTACTCCATACATGTGCCGCAAGATTCGATGTGACGGATGCTGCACAAAATTTTTTGGATTTTGGGAAAACTAAACGGGCCTAACATTGTCGCGCATGCGGTGTTTCACACTTGCTTGGCCTGTCGTCGTACGGCTGCACATGTCTCAGAGGGTAGGCAACAGATGGACAGCTAGTGGCTGCATGCATCAAGCTATAGAAAACATCGAAGCATTTTCTTTATTTCAAAGTTTCAACCTAAGGTCCACCTTTTTTTATTGCAACATAGGCCTAGTTCACTTCGCTGAAAAAACAAGCTTAAACACTATTTCATCTAATTTGTTGCGAGAGAAAAATACTATTTCAACTAAAAAATACGGATTATAAGATAAGCGAACAGGGCCATAATTGAAGCCGTCATGTTTTTTTTTCCAGATGAGACGTCACACAAGGAAAAACAAAACATCCGACACTGATTTGATGAACTCTTAACTCTACCTCTAGCTAGTGTTGGTATGTTGCATCGATTAATTAATTTCACTTAAATAGTCATGGTGGGGTGAGTCCCTAAATGAAAATAGTAAAAACCATGGCATGTATTATGTATAGACACTACATGCCAAGACCATTTTTCTTCTAATACTTGTGTAAGTAGTTGCCCACCTTAAGGTGCGGTGCCGTTCAATCCTAGGTGCGGGATCGACCACAGATGGTTAAGATCGAGCCACGTCACCAGAGCCTACCCTCTTCGTTTCGATAGGCTGACAAGAGTCTAACTTTTTTTTGATAAAAAAACAAGAGTCTCACTTAATGCACAAAGAAACAAGATTAGTACGTATACGGTAGTATTATAGTATCATCAGGTGTCAAACGTGCATGCTGGCGGCATTAGCAGCTCGGCGATGTTGACTGTCGAGTATGCAAGGATGGCCGTTGGCCGCAACACAAATATATAACCAATATACTAATGTACTGTGCAATTCAAACTGCGTTGTTTGTTTGACCTTTCGACGCAATAAGTACATATAAATAAATCCATTCGCAGTCACGGCGCTGACGTATTATATATATAATACATATCTGGGCTACTAAATCCACGGAAAATGCGGTGTTCTCCGTAACCAACCCGATGTGCAGGTTGGGCTTGAGGTTCCAGCAAATGATTCGGTCGTGAATCCGGTGAAGAATGCACTGAATATAGATGGAAAATGGCGCATACGAGAGATTATTGCCGAGTCACAGTTTTTGTCAAAAGGGAGGAGAGTCGTTGTTCCTCGAGCGCCAAAAGATGGGGAGAGTCGTTAGCTAGCTATAGGCTATTAGCCAGTTCGGCTGGTAAGAACCGGCTGGTGCTGGAAACCAGCTGGCACAGTTCCATCCAGCCAGCACATATGCAGTCAACAGGAAACCCAGCTCATTTCAAACAGATGGCGCGAACAGCACAGGATGTGTCCAGCCCAGAAAAAAATGGCGTCAACAGATCTTCCATTCAGTGGCGCCAAACCCATCATCCATTCAAATAAAAATACAACATCTCAAATAACAGTCAACTTAAGGGCTGCTAACAGTCCATTAGAAGTTAATCCATTCCAAGTTCACTACACATAACTGAAGCCTGCAAGCACTTGTACAATAGTTCAAATTACACACACCAATTCAAATTACAATTCTTGCTGACAAATCATGTAGCCTGCAGGTTACACAAAAATGAAGATTCGAATTCCGTCTTCTTGCCACCTCTGTCCTCCAAGGCAGGCAATCAACATTCAAAGGAGATAGAGAACTTGCAGGAACCATGGCCTGAAGGAAATCAGGAGTAAAACAAGAATCCATAAGCACGACGTTAAGCGATCAAGATGCATGGCACAAACAAGTTGCTCAATTGGTTGCAAGCAAAGAACTGAGCAATGCATTATGATTGCAAAGGTGTTTGTGGAAGAACTGAGCAATGCACTATCACTGCTTTGTGACCCAACCTATGCAATTGCCACAAATGGTTTAGATCTTATATTTCAGGAACATTGTCACCCAAATTCGTATCAATGCAACAAACTGGACAATATTCACACTCACAAACACAACATAGTTGCTAGTTAAATGGGTATTTGCCTCATGTTCAACATTGGTACCTAAACCTTTAACCCCCTCTTTAGACATGCATTCAAATCGAATTAATTAAACCATGAAACACCGACAGTGTACAAAATGCAACTACACAGCCACAAAGGAAACTATTAACAGAATGAGGATCACCTTTGCAAAGCAGCCTATGCAGCACCACAAGTGTGTCCTGGGCAACCTATAAAACAAAAGAAGAACCCATCCTATATTAATGGCCACTAAGGGCAGCATAACCCAGTCTTTATGAATGGCATAAATACATGGGACGGCACAAATTACCTTTGTTGCATCATTGCCCCCAAAGAGCCAAAGATATGTAGTCCCTCACTAATGACATAGTGGAATTAGCATTGATCTGAACCCAATCAGACGGTGGGTACGTAGGAGAACCAACTCCAATCTCACGATTGCGTAAAAAATTGTGCAATGCAAAGCATGACATAATAATCATCTTTTGCTTTTCCCTATGATGATGACGGTACCCCATTCAATATGTGCCAACGGGCTTTGAGAACCCCAAATGACCTTTCAACGACATTGCGGAGGCTTGAATGAGTGAAGTTAAATTCTCTTTGTCTAGATAATGTGTCCATGTCTACACCCCTAAAATCATCGAGATGGTACCTTGTATTTTGAATGGAGCCAAGTAGCCGGTGTCCAACGCATATCTGCATCCACCAAATAGTAGCGACACGCAACACATGCAACATTTCGGTTGAAACAGTTTGGTTTCCTCAAAGGCAAGTAAGAAAAATGGGACAAGTGTTGCATGGCACTACTCACTAACCCTCTTGGTGGATGCGGAAGCGATGGTTGTTGCCAACATTCTCTTAGTACGACCATGTCATGCATCGACCCCGCCATCCGGCCCCCACAAACGTGAAGCGCATATCCATGTCCACAATGGCACAAACATTAATTGTCACATCTCCTTTCCTGTTTATGTAGTCAAGTTTGGCCTCCTTGTTCACCGACACTTTAATATGAGTTCCATCCAACGCCCCAATGCAACCATCAAAAATGGTGCATATGTTTAAACCGAGCGTGCACTCCAAAGATAAGTACTATCAATTGGAACTAAAATACTATCGCCCATCTACTAACAATCTCTCGCCACATGAGTAACCTTCACCGCCATCGTATCTAAAGACCGTTCAAATCTATCCCTACTCCTTCTAGCTGCCCTGTTGTGAGCACAAGTCCACACATACAAACCTAAAGTTTCTATGGATCCATCTCATTGTGTACCCTTCAATCCATACTCAACTAAAATGTTGTGCTGATGCAGAAAAGCATCAGGA